AATCTCCAAGATATAAGTGTAGAAAAATAGTAGAACCTGGCCCCGATTCAAAGTCCTATTTGTAAAGTGATATTAAGAAGACTGAATCATTTGGTAAGTAGAAATGAAATATGACAATTTTAGTTACCTGCATGATATAATATAGCTCCTGAAAATAAAAAAGTGTAACTAACCTGACTCTCGAGTTAACTGAGAAGTATCACAACTTATTTCAATTCTTCATTACTCAATCATGCATCTGAATCAATACAGCTTTACTTGAATATGAGAGCTATCCCTTATCTGTGGTTTTGCTTTCTGAAGCTTCCGTTACCCGCAGTCAACCTGCATAGTCATAGCTTGATGATTCTTCTGACTTATCGTCAGAAGGTCAACAGTGACCTGACATTCGTCACAACGCTTGCGCCATTCGTCTCGATTTATCTCATCACACAGGCATTGCGTCATCTCCATATCAGCTCAAGGAAAAAGGTGGTTGCAGTGCAATAAGTTATTTTGAGAAAGAGAGAGACCACAGTCACATAACTTTTACTGCAATATGTGGTTATAATTGTTCTATTTTGTTATTAATTATTGTTAATCTCTGTGTTTAATTAACAAATTAAACTTTATCATAGGCAATTATGTATAGCAAAACTCAGCATATGGAGGATTTCAGGCATTCACTGGAAGTCTTGGAATGCTTCCCCTACAGGTAGGAAGAGACTATTGTACTAAGAATAAGAAAGAAAAAATTTAGAGCTATTGATTTGGATATTTGGAAAAGGAAGGAAGGAAGGAAGGAAGGAAGGAAGGGAGGGAGGGAGGGAGGAAGGACCCTTCCCCTAATCTCCTAATAGTGGTCCTTAAAGGAGTTCCATGGCCTGAGACTCCCTCTTTAGCTTAGATATGGCTGAAAATTAATGGGAAGTTTTGGTGGTTCTCTATTATTGAATTGGTGGCTACAGGTATTATTGGTTTCAATTAAAATTGCTTCTTTATTTTAGCATCTAATTGTCTCTCAGACATAATCACTGCAAGTCAGATGCTCAGAAAAGAAGCCCCACTTCCAGGCCCCCTCATAGGTCTTCTCACAGAGCTTCTTCCACCTCATGTCCTGGACCACATCACCAACCCTGTCCCTTCCATCAGGGGAAGGCTGCTTTCCATAGGGATCTTCCCCCTCAGGCAGAAATCCTTCCTGTATACTTGGGCAATAGTGCAAATCCAAATATTTCTCTAGCCAGTACAGATTTATCTCTAGTCTATTGTACATTTTATGCCAAAGCACACTTGCTTAATAAACTCTGCATTTCTCTTTTCCACCCGGGATAAAATAGAACAATGTACTGAGAAAGTTCCATCCACAGCCTGTCACTTACCACATCTTTTTTCCCAGTTCCCAAGCTTATGTATTATTATTAAAAATTATACTAATAATTACCAAGAAAACTTTGATATCTACCTACCTACAGCATTTGTATGATATGTAATGATAACTTTTCATTGTTTTATTAACCAATTTATAATTTAAGATATAGCTTCAATGTGCCCCAAATGTTTTACAACACTATATAAGTTGTCTACTAGGTTCTATTTGTCTCATATCATGGTTTAGATTTAAGTGTCTCATGTGTGAGACAATTCAAGAAGGTTTAGAGATGAAATGATTATATTATGAGCCTTGACCCAGTTGGAGAATTAATCCCCCAATAGCGATTAACTGAATGGTAACTGTAGGCAGGTAGGGTGTGGCTGGAGGAGGTGGGCCCTGAGGTGTGCCTTTGAGGTTGATATTTTGTCCTTGTTGTGCATAGCTCTCTCTGCTTCTTGGTGCCATGTTCCCAGCTGCTTTTATCTGCCACACACTTTTGCCATGATTTTCTGCATCATCTCAGGCCTCGAGGATTGGAAGTAACCATCTATGAACGGAGACCTTTGAAACCGTGAGCCTCAGAATAAACATTTCCTCCTTAAAACTGCTCTTGTCAGGCCTTTTGGTCACAGGAAAGAAAACATCTGCTTAAAACATCTCAATACCAGGTATGGGAAGCCACTATATTTGTTGCTTATTAATATTACCATTACTAAAAATAAGCAGTAAGACATAATAACTAGAATACTTTCTTTTATATCCAAATGGATGAGGAAAAATTGAAAGTTTTTAGTACTGTAATTTAAAAAGCTAAATTAGCAAAAAGGACTATTAAGAGATATTCCTTTAATTTAGTTTTGTGGAAAATCTAAATATAACATACTAAATTGAAACTATTGAGTCCACAATAGCTGGCAATTAAATAAGGAAGAGTTGAGGTGGGGATGAATTTCAGAAAAATGTGTCAAAAGAATGCAGGAAAGGCAGGAATACATAAGGATACATCATTTGTCACTAATGTGTTGTCATGGCAGGAAAAAAATCAAGAACATGATAATTTATGAATCCCAGTAGGATGCTAAAGATTTCTTCATTTGGTTGGGTATGGATATGTCTTTTTGTACTCTCCCTTCACTGAAATTGATTGCTACATTCCTCTCACTGTTGCTTCTTGGGGAAATCATGATAACTGTTTTTTCCAACCACAAACTTGATATGTTAAAACAATACATGTTGAAAGAACTGCAAGAAATCGAGACCAGCATTGTTCCTGTTAGGTTCTTCATTTCCTCCTTTCCTTATCTCTTCCCTGACCCATTTACCTCTGTTTCTTTCAGTTGCCATGTTCCAATAAATCATGAAGAAACAACATATTTAATGCTTTAATTCATTTCCATGTGCTAATCCTATTTTTGAAAATTGAATAACTCAGTGAAAGGAAAAATTCACAATCTGAATAAGAACCACACCAAAACAAATAAAATAATTGACTAAAACAATAGAGTGGGTTTTATGTATTTTCTTTTGTTATTTAATCTCAAGAATAAAATTAATTTGCCTTTATATCTTATTTTTCCATTTATAAAATAACTTGTAGTCTTTTTTAAGCTTCTATTTTTATATCATAATATCATATGATATTTTAATAAACAGAATATAATAAACATAATATCATTTTATATCATAATAAACAGAACCATTTACCTAGTACTTGCCATTTACAGTGCAACTTGAATCTCAGAAACGTCTGGTATAGCTCCCATTAAAGAGATGTGCAGACTGAGGTTATAGAGATCTTGATTCTGCCAGAGTTATGTGGTTAGTAAGGGCTTTCCAGAGCTGAATCACACCTCTTCTGATATATGTCCCAGGTTCTCCTTAGTATACTACACTGCAACTAAAGAGTGGTTATTAACCACCAAGTCTTCTTATGTTACTGAGGGATCAATATCTATTTTTTAAACTATTATGCTCTGGACAAATGCATGGGAGTTTTGCCTTGGCAGTTGAAGTGAAAATAAGTAGGTAGATGTCTTAGCTCAGATTGCTAGAACAAAATACCATAGACTGGGTGGCTGAAAAACCAGACATGGATTATCTCATAGTTCTGGAAACTAGAAAGTCCAAGATCAAGGTCCAACAGGGTTGTTTCTGCTAAAGGCTCTTTTCCTAGCTTGTGAATGATTGCCTTCTTGCTCTGTCTTCACATGATAGAAAAAGAACCCTGGTCTTTTTTCTTTTCTTATAAAAGCACTAATCTCATTGCAGGGACCTCACCCTCATGACCTAATCTAAGCCTAATTATCTCCTAAAGGCCCTACCTCCAAATACCATTTATTGAGAGTTTAGGGCTTCAACATATGAATTTGTGGACAAAAATCTGTCTGTCCATGATCGTGGGTTTAATATAAATGTATCTTCATGCTAAATTAGAGAGCAAAATTGTTACTAGAATTATAGAATTGTAGGGTGAACTCAGAAATCATCTCCCAATTTTTCTTTTACATAAGACAAATGCTCAGGGAAGAATCAAGCCATTTGTCCAAACATGGTCAATTTGTCATTTGTTCCCTTCCATTTTCCTGCTTCAACTCAAAGTTAAACTAACAGTTCAATATACTGCCTCAATTCTCTTCCTATTAACTTCTCCATTTCCTGCAAACTGACTTAGATCTTCACCATCCTACTAAAATGTCCTCTGCTTAGCTAAACTTGTTTTCCAGAATAAGAATCAAGGAAACATTGGTTTCTCTAGAAACTACTCCTAGAAGCCCAAGACAAGCAGAATCAAGATTCCTCTTGGGATCTGGCCACACCTTTACCATAGATCATAGACATTGTGCCCCACGCTTCCTACCCCCAGTCAAAGTCCAGGAACACCTATGTTCTCAGCAGCTCCAGTGCCCAGGTCTTGCTGCCATTAGATTAGCTCTACTCAGAGGCTGTCTCACTGAGCCATGTTGCTCAGGACTGGGTCTGTTCAAACCTAGGATGCAGATTTCAATTTCTGCTAAGCAATGCCCAAGCATTTATGTGATAGAACATGCTAATTGCTAGATTGAAAAGACAAAAGGACTAACATAGCAACTTTGATGAGAGTTTAACATCCACCATCTGTGGACCCTCAACAGGCCATAGCCACACTGGGAGTCAGGCTTGTTCCCCAGGCCACGTGTCTAGTCCTCCTATCTCCCTTCCTCCCTCCCTTCTCCCAGCCCCAGCTCAGCTGTCTTGTGCATCCAGTTGATTGTCCCAGTCAGAAGACTTGCCATGTCACCTGTCTGATTGCCTCCTACTAAACCAGGCCCTCTCCCCACACCATGGCTCACCTTCCACTTAAAAACAGTCTCTTCCTAAGAGCAATTCTAGTCCCTTCTATGAAGAAATGGATGTTCCATGTTACTTCACCAAGATAGAGCCCTCCACTAACTGCAGCTCTACCCCTCTGAGACTTTGGACTCTTTCCTCTGCTTGTGATCCCTGCCATGGCTTTTCTGACATTCAGCTTTAATTAATGGAGCTGTCACATTGCTAAGCTTCCACGAGCCATCTCAGAATAGTGTCAAAACTGTCCTCTGGGCCTCTTGCCAGGGTGCTATCTGTTGTGTCACCAAAGAGCCTCCCACCATTGATATCTCCCTCTTACCTCACTTTCTGTTCTGTCCCTTTGATTCTGCCCTCTCCCAGGACAATTCATGTGTCCCCACTGGTATATGTTACCCAGGCCCTGTAGTGTATGACTGAAGCATAGACTGTCTTTCCTCCTGTAGCTGGCCTGTGCCAGCATCAGAACATGCTGGTATTTGACCCCAATTGTTGGTCTGGTGTCCAAGATGGGAGGGGGGCTAGATCTTGCAGAGGGCATGTACTGTCTTCTATTTCATCTGCGTCATTGGAGGCTTTAGAATAGTCCTCCAATAAAACAAAGTGGTTCTATTTTCTAACTAGAGGGAAAGGGCAGGAAGATTCTGGAGACTCTATGCAGATACCCTGTCTCAAATTTCAGGGCCCCACTCCTTCCCTGACAGGGACTTGGCTCTAGTGTAGTAAACCTGTCGCCAAGAATTCTGCCTCTTCTCAAGTCTGTCACTTCCAGTTCAGTCCTGTGCCAAATGTCATCCTTTCTCTGCATAATGGATGAAGGCAATGGGGGAGAGGAGTCCGATGGACTGAATGTCTATGCACTCCCCCAAATTCATGTGTTGGAATCCTTATCTCTAAGGTGATGGTACTAGGAAGTGGGGACTTTGGGGTGATTAGGTCAAGGTGAAGTACTCGTGATGAGATTCATATCTGTATAAGATGGACCCCAGAGAAAGTCCTCTCCCTCCCACCTTATGAGGCCACACTGAGAAGGCAGCATGTATGAACCAAGAAGTGGCACTCACCAGAGTACAGATTCTGCCTGGACTTTGAACTTGGACTTCACAAAAACAACCTCCAGATATTAATTTCTGGTTTTTATAAGTTACTCACTCTACAGTATTTTGTTATAGCAGTGTTACTGAACCAGGCCTGTTTTGCTTGTTGCACAGTATGTTAATCACTAAAATGAGTTTTGCAAAAGAGAGTTTATTCTCAAAACAGGCAAGTGAAGAGGTGGGAGACAAGTCTCAGATCCATCTCCCAGAGCACAGGATTTGGGTTATTTGTGTGAAAAAGAAGCAGAGTGATATGAAGATTGGGGAAAGGTGCTTGAAGGTGAAGTAATCAGTGGTCTGCACATGCATAATCAACCTTCATGGTTCTTCCTGGGATGCATGTTCAGAAAATAGTCACATTAGCATGATCTGAGGGTGCCCATCAGACACTTAACATTAACCCAAGTGAAGAGTTGATAGCTTAGACAAAAACAGCCTTCAAGCCCCTGGAAAGCAACCGTTAGCATCATAACCCATGTGTCAGAGGTGTCATCTACAGGAAAGCTAGTGGGAAGCTAATAATAGATAGCTCAGCTGTGTGACCTCCATAATTAGTGATTGTGTTAGTCAGCTTTTCGTCACTGTGACTAAAAATACTTGACAAGAAAAACTTGGAAGAAAAGTTTATTTTGAGCTCACAGTTTCAGAGGCTCAGTTCATGGTCAACCAGATTGCGTTGCTCTGTACCTGAGATGAGGCAGAACATCTTGGTGAACAGGTGTGATGGAGGACCAATGCTCAGCTCATGGCAGCCTGGGGTGGGGTGGGGGGAGACAGGGGAGAAGTAGCTGGGAAGAAAATATAATCCCCAATGGCACGCCCTTAGTGACCTACTTTAGCCAGCCATGCCCCACTTGCTTACAGTTACCACTTAGAAAGGCATTCAAGTTATTAATCCATCAAATAGATTAACTCTCACAATCTAGTCATACCACTCTGAACATTCCTTGAATCGACACATGAGTTGTTCAAGAGACACCTCATATGCAAACCACAATAATGATTTTTAGTTTTTTGCAAAAACTCCTTGTTTTGTTGACTGGCACGCTGTGCAGTGGACAAAACAGGCCTGATTTGGTAAGAGCTTCCTCAACAGACAAAGATACAGTTATGAGGAAGAATCTCCGTAAGTACTGCTTAGGAAGCCCTCTGATTCTCATGCTTCAAATTGTGATTAGCCAACCTGAGCCTACCAGTTTCTTTCTTCTATGCATCACTAGGGCAGAGCAATAATTACACCATTCCACTGTGTTTGTCTGTTCTGTTCCCCCCCCCAATAACTTTCATATGCCAGAGATGTTGTGCCAGAGCTGTGCATCCTCTGCCACTCCTATTCCATTCCAATTCATCCCATGTGAGTCTCCACAGCTACACTGCTGCAGCATGCCAGGGAGCACAGCGTCCCATTGTGACCCTCTGTTTCTAGGACACTCCTTGTTACCAGCTGCCTTTGATTGGATTTCCTGGGAGCAGAGCCAGAGAAAAATGTGAGTATAATTTTTTGAAACAGTACCATTGAAGAAAATCCTGGAAGGAATGGGAGAGAGGTAGGATATGGAAAGAAAGAGGAGAGCAAGGCTGTGGTTTCAGAAAAAAAAAAAATCTAAATTTAGCCTGAGTCCTGACAAGGACAGGGAGTACTGTCACATAGATCCCACACAGAGCTGTCCCACCTAAGGCAAGGGGATTAGGTTTTGTATCCCTCTATCACTCATACTTGAATCCATTGTGAATACTGAATCTTGAGTGATGTGAATTTGTGTTTTTAAATAAGGCTGATCTCAGTCCCCATTAAGCTTTCACATCTTTAGGATGGTTTCCTACCAGATTTTTGATCTGGGACAAGTTAATTACCCATTCTCACCTTTAGCTGCTTTCCAAAAATTGGGGATATTGATTGCTAGTTCAAAAAAATTATTGAAAAGTAAAGGAGACTATATAAAGCACTTGCTGATAAATTTTCATTAGTGCTTAGTGAGCACTAGTGAATGTTAATTCCAAATCCTCTCCCTTAATTATAGCACACTGTTATTTGATTTGAGACAAGTTGCTTAATTTTTCTGCATTTCAAGAAAATATCTGAATTCCTTCTGTATACAAATCCTACAGGATTGTTGTAGCATTCACACACACATGCACACATACATGCACAGACACACACCAAAAAAAATGACTTTTTAAAAGTATTACTAAAATTCAATATTTTGTTAGCATCAATGTTGTTTTGTTGGCAAATGAGTTCAAAAATCATTAGCATATTTTTAACTACAAGTTATGGATGCAAAGCAATTTTATTATCCTATACCACTTGAATGAAAATAAGAGAGTTATAAGGTATATTCTGCATATAATGAGCAAAGACTCTGAATCTCTGAGCAAAAATGAATAATTCTTTTATTCTAACTTTTAAGTCAAGGTAAACAGTTTGCTTTATTTATTTATTTTGGAAATTCCTAGCTTTCTTATAACTCATTAACTATTGAATGGTACATATTTAAATGAAGTATCACTGATAAAATTTGTTACTATCAGAGATAAATAGACAGAATGTCTTTAGTTTGTTTTAAATTATATATTTTAAATTGAAGAAATATAAGACAGAAAATACAAAATCATTACCTACAAAAAAGGATGTCTTCTTTAAATTTTTAAAAATTTTTTAATTTTTTTTTGGTACCAGGTATTAAGATGTCTTTTATTAAATGTTGACAAGCTAGTGCCTGAATACTCAGATCTACATCTTAAAAGGTATTTTGTTCCAAATTATAACCTTAACAGAGTCACCTGTTTTCTAAATTTTCCTTTTCTTCATTGTTAATTATTTCGTGAACTGTGGTTTACTTTACTGTTACTCTTCTTGGTTGCTTAACAACAATAACAATGACAGAGACTACACAAACAGAAAAGAAATGTAATAATACTGACAGAGTGACATCGGCAAAAATGACAGAGTAAGGATCTCCAACTCTCCTTCATCAAAACAAGAAGGAAATTGGCAAAAAAAAATTGTTAGAATCACCTTTTTCAGAATGCTGGAAATTAATCAAAGACTCACGATATCCAGGTAGTGTTTATTCAAGAACTGGCTGAATCTTGGTAAGAAAAGCAAACTTAATGGTAGTTTAACCTAATCTATTACCATGTCCACCTCTCTGATTCCACAGTAGCCTTGACAAATAATAGCCCACAGTCACAGTGAAAATCAATAGCCTGGCAGCCACCAGAGAAAGCAGAAAAGGATTAGATCTCCTTCAAAGGACCATTCTCAGAGAACTGTCATTATTTGACATAACCAATGGTTTCCTGGAAGACCACAACCATAAGCCTTTCTTTATTTGACCTCTTTCATGGTTGGAATGAACATGTGGCTCTGTGGGAGAGCACTAACCTAGGAAGCCCAAAACCAAGGGTTCAATCCATGCCAACACACACACACACACACACACACACAAATTAAATTAAAATAAAAATTTTTAAGTCTTTTCCTGACAGCATTTGTATAAGAGTGCATCTGCCTGAAGTGGTAGATAATAGTTGAGACACACAAAAAGCTAACCAAAAATCTTTAAAAAGGAAAAAAAAAACCTGCCCATGGAGTCTTTGATAAGCTATGACATATTCCTACAAATCTCAAAGGGTCTATGCATGTCCTGAGTAGTAAATATGTCCAAGAAAGACCTGATAAGGCCCTAAGCACTTCACCTGGCTGACTTGGAGGATTCATGTAAGCACAAAATGCAGGGCAAGGAAGAGTTATCAATTGCATGGCTGAGTGGTGAAGGTTTACCCCGACACACACAGCCCCTTAGCACAAAGCAGGAGGTGCAGTGGTTCATCCATTAAGAAAATCTCTGTCTAATCTTTACCTGACCACTAAACTGAGAGCTAAGACTTCAGTGACCACATATGGCAAGGAAGACATATTTTACAAAATTAGTTCAGAAAAGTCACTATACAGACATCCATGACAAACCCCTGAGAAGGAACAAGAGCATAATTCTAGATTTGCCACATTATATTATTTTACACTTAAAGTAATCACAAAATTTCAACAACAAAAAAGATTATGAAACAGGTCAAGAAATAAGAAAGTATGCCCCATACAAAGGAAGAGAAAGCAGTTATTTTAGTCAGTTTTTCATTGCTGTAACCAAAATACCTAACAATAACAACTTAGAGGAGGAAAAGTTTATTTGGAGCTCATGGTTTCGAAGGTGCAGTCTATGATCAGCCAACTCCATTGCTCTGGTAAGGCAGAACATCATGGTGGAAAGTCATGGTAGAGGAGTGCTTCTCCATTTATGGTGGCCAGGAAACAGAGATAGGAAGGGGTTTCAGGGAAGGTGAACCTTTCCAGGGCCCACCTCCAATGACCTACCTCCTCCAGCCATGCCCCACCTGCCTACAATTATCAGTATTCAAACTAGGATGAGCTCATTAGATTGTAGCTCTTGGAATCTGATCATGTAACCTCTGAGTATCCCTGCATTAACTCAGGAGCTTTTGAAGGACACCTCATATCCAAACCATGACAGCAGTCAACACGAACTGTCCCTGAGAAAGCCAGATGTTGGACTAACTAGACAAAGATTTTAAATTAGCTTTTTAAATATAGTCACAAAATTTTGGCTGGGGTTATGGCTCAGCTGTAGAGCCCTCACCTAGCACGGGCGAGGCGTTTGGTTCGATCCTCAGCACCACATAAAAATTAAAACAAATAAAAAGGTATTCTGTCCAACTACAACAAATATATATATACAAAACTACAGGAGACCATGCCTTAAAAAGCTAAAGGAAAATGCAAGAACAATGTCTTACCAAATGGAAAATATCAATAAAGACATTTCAATTATTAAAAAAAAAAAAGAACTAAATATAAATTCTGGAGTTGAGGGGCTGGGGTTGTGGCTCAGCGGTAGAGCACTCACCTAGCTCATGTGAGGCCCTGGGTTCGATCCTCAGCACCACATAAAAATAAATAAATAAAGGTATTGTGTCCAACTACAACCAAAAAAATAAATATTTAAAAAAATAATAAATAAATAAATTCTGGAGTTGAATTGTAAAGAATAATTGATTACAGAGGCTCAACAGAGATTTGAGCAGGAGAAAAAAATAACCAGTGAACTTGAAGATGGTCAATTGAGAAGCAGTCTGAGGATCTGAAAGGAAAGAGAAAAATGAAGAAAGTCTTGAAGAGCTGTCATTGCCCTACAGCACACCAACTTGCGAAAATGAGAGTCCCAGCAGGAGAGCAGAGAATACTCCAAAGGAAGATTAGAGGAAATAATAACTTTTAAACTGCCCAAATTGGATTTTTTTAAAAATGTCACTACATATCCAAGAAGCTCAGTGAGTTCCAAGTGGAATAAAAATAACACCTGGCAAGAAGTTAACTTTGTTGGAGATTTAGTGTTTAATTTTATAACTGTGTGATCTAAGAAATTGTTATTTATAATTGGGCTCCATGATTCTTTTTGGCTTTGCCCTCTCACTCACCAGAATAAATTATATTCTGATAGAGACAGGGAAAGATATAGAAAAGTAGATACGTTTGATGTCTAAATTCTAACTTGAGGGCAAGGAGGCCTACAGAAAAGAATAGAAATGAATACCAGTATTCTAAACTCATCTTACTCAGGACATAATATAAAATTGAATAAGAAATATGCATACACAGGCCATTGTTAAGTACTTAGACTCAGTCTGGGCTAAGTCTTAAGTGGATTTGTGTCTTTGTGTGTGTTCTGAGAACTAAACTCAGGGCTTATGTGTGTTAACCACATAGTCTACCACTGTGTTAGTTTTTCATTGCTCTGACAAAATATGTGAAAAGATCAATTTAAAAGAGAAAAGATTTACTTTGGCCCATGTTTTAGAGGTCTCAGTACGTGGCCACTTCACTCCATTGTTTTGGACCTATAATGAGACAGAACATCATGGTAGAGAGCATGTGGTAGAGCACAATTGCTCACCTTGTGATAACCAGAAGTAGAGAGAGAGACAGAGACACAAAGACGGAGGGAGGAAGTGGCTAAGGAAATAACATAACCTTCAAGGGCATGTCCACAAATACCAATTTCCTCCAACTAGGATCCACTACCTAAGTTTCCACCATTTTCCAATAGCCTATCAAATTATAGATCCATCAATTGATTAATCCATTGATGCAGTTAGAGCCCTCATAATCCAGTCACCTTCCAAAAGCCCCACCTCTATAAACTGCTACATTCGGGACCACAACTTCAACACAGGAACTTTTGGGGATTTCAGATTCACTATTGAAACCACTGAGCTACACCCGCAATCTCTCCAGTAGAAATTTTAAAATAATATATAAACAGATTCATGGAACTTGTGTTATTTTTAGCACCACTTCTATCAAAATCCAACATTTTGCTTAAGTTTTAGAAACTCTTTTACTAGGTCTCCTAATTTCAAGGGTAGTAAGTTTAAAATAACACAAAATTAGAGCTCCCCACATTCC